TAGCTTATGGTGTGTTGGTTGTTGATGCATAAGAATGCTGTTAGACAAGGAGGGGGGGTTATTTACTAAAGCTGGAGAGAGAAAAATCAGGCTTAAGTCTGCACAGAAACCAATCACCTTCTAACTTCAACTTGTTCAGTTAAAGCGGAGCTCCACCCAAAAGGTGTAGCTCCGCTTGTCTGCTTCCTCATTCCCTCCACTGCCACATTTGGCACTTTTTGGTGGGGAGGGGGAGTGGGGAGTGGATACTGGCTCAGTTCACCGCTGCGAACTGAGCCGGACTTTCAGCTTTTAGGTTCACAGGTCCCAGAAGACTGCCAGACCAATCAGGAGGTGCTGCGCGGCTCGATCCTGCGCAGTGGGCACCCGGCTGTGAATTCGCAAGCTGTCACAGCCAGGTGCCCAAAGTTGAGATGCCAGAGCAAGGCAGAGAAGAGGGAGAGAAGGGACTGAGCGGGTGAGCATTTTGCCGGATCCTGGGACAGGTGAGTGTGTTTATTAAAAGTCAGCAGCTACAGTTTTTGTACCTGATGACTTTTAATTAACACAAAAATGACTGGGACTCCTCTTTAAACTTTGGAAATAAAACCTTGAAACTGACTGGTTTCTAGAGCTCGCAGAAGCAAGCCTAGTTTTGCACTCTCCAGGTCTAGTAAATAAACCCTACAGGTTCTGTTTGCAGGAATCCACAGGAATTATTGGGAAAATGTCATAAATGATACAAAGAGCTTTGCAGCAATTGAAGTTATCATAACATTGTTCACAGTTGGTGTAGATATGAGCTCAAGCTTGCCACAGATAGACACGTATCCCAAAAAAAGGCAATCTTCTTGTAGGGTTGGTACCAGCCAATGCATCTCACTCTTGTGGACTTAAAGTATGACTAAAGCCAAAACTTAAAAAAAAAATTATTTTTAGTTTTGAATAGAGTGAATAGAACTAATAGAAGAGAAATATTCTGATAGGGACGCCGGTTCCTGTGAACTTTTGGGGAATTTCCTCTCACATTCTGTTGTGGCTATGGGACAGGAAGTGAAGGGATGCCCTTCTCCACAAAGGCGCACAGATGGCAAAAATAAAACTGACAGGAGTTGTAAACCTCTCTTACTCTATCCAAATTGAAAAAAAAGTAAAAAAAAAAGGTTTTGACTTTAGGTCTACTAAAAAAATGAAGTCTCACCTACTTTTAGTTATGTATTTTTTTGCTCTTGTTCCATCTTCCTACATGGTCTCTAAGCTGAGCTAAAATAGTTGTCACCCCCCCCCCCCCCCCCCCCCCCCAAACCCTACCACTGCATGACAACACAGCAAGCAAGGAGAATAATAACTAATAAGCCCTGATTGATGGCACTTTTCTCCAACTCTATAGGCTTGCCGGAGACACACTAGGAATGCAAGAGGAGGGAATGTGTTAGGTCAGGTCAATGTGGCATATTTTTTAAAAAGAGTCTGGGACTTCTTTTTCACATTTCTCTGCATAGGGTGGCACACTGAAATGAATGGGCTACCCTACACGCGAGGTGCAGGAACATGCAAAAAAATACACAAAAATGTGCCTGGCTTTGTTGCACCTGTAGGTGTGGCCTAAGGTCCACAAATCAAGTGTTTTTATGAGTAACAGAGAAGCATGAAGGTAAAAATTAAATAAGGGATTTTCTTCTACAAACTGTTTGGGGCTCATTGAAAAAACATATATGTATACATGAATTTTTGGACCCATTATTTATTTTTAAATGAGTCCTCCTTTAAAACCTTTATCTTCTCTTCTAATTAAGAGGAGGAATTAATCATTTAGGTCACACTAAGGATTTCCAACAATTTAAAAAAACAGATCTCTGCAAGCAATAGTGATTGATTATGATTCTGGAAGTTTTTATTACCTTAGGACAGCCCTAAATGCCCAGTCTTTGCTAGATTACTCTAGAACAGTGGTCTCCAAACTGCGGCCCTTTGCTTACTTTTATCCAGCCCTTGGGGCATTATTTTTATCCACCAATACCAACAATGGGGCATAATTCCCCCCACTGATACCATTGAAGGGGCAGAATAATTCCCAATGGCAGGACACAATTCCTCTCAAAGACACCAACAATGAGGCTTATTAACATCAATGGTGGGGTGCTATTCCTCCCACTGACACCAAAGATGGGGTCTATTCTTCAGAAGTCAGGACCTTTTCTACTGCGAATAGTCCAGCCCTCCTTAAGTCTGAATGACAGTAAACTGGCCCTTTGTTTAGAAAGTTTGGAGACCCCAGCTCTAAATGATGTTATAGACCCTTTTACACTCAAACTTAGTAATATACATGCCTTTTCTAATTTATAATACAAAATAGTTTGGACTGAATATAGTAATCATTGCTTAGTTTTTTGTGTGTGTGTGTGTGTGTGTGTGTGTGTATTGGTAATATTTTATAAAGTGCTCAAGATGGACCCAGCACCAGCATGCACACCGATACCAAAAGTGTCACTGTGCTGTGCATCCTAGCTTAACACATGTGCCCTCCTCGTTTCCTCTCCTTTCCAGTAAGGATCAATGCTCTGTTCCTGGGTGGATACTGGCTGTGTGAAAAAAGAAACAGGACTGCATATAATGGCACAAAAAGAAACCTTTTTGGTCCTCAGAAATTACATCTAATTGAATGTAAGGTCAGGTAAAATGGCATTTCAAAATGATAGGGCTAAATACATTTTTAAAGCCTAACTCCAGCCAAATGTATTTATTTTGGCCGCATATTACATGTTACACCCTAATTGCTGTTGGGTATACTCATTTATTTTAAATAGTTTTTTTCTTTCATCAACGATGAAGGTCTATCAGAAACTACATTTTCCACTACTTTCTTGCTGTAAATGAAGTCATAAAAGAAGTTTCAAAGCACCAAAAGCTAACGCCTCTGAATGTTTCTCTTTGACACAGCCCATCATTCTGCATCCAAAAGGCATTAAAAACAACTAAAATGAGCATATTCTTTCTGCTGCATATAGTTACCGACTTCCTTAATTGGTTGATATGTTCAATAAATTAACTGGCTAAACTGCCAACAACGGTAATAAAGAAGACATCTGGGAGAACACTGTAAGCATTGTTAACTGTGCACATCTTTTTGGTACTATTTCACTAAATCTGTGGACATTTCAGCCAATATGCCAAAGGCTTTAAAGTACATCATAAGCTTCAAACGAAAAACTCTCTTCCTGAACGCAAGCCAAAAGAAAGAATTTGTTACTCAGTGGAGTTTAACATGCCATATGCTGTAGCAAGACATCAATATACTATAAATCATTAGCTTGAGAAAAAAAGGGAATAGCAGTGACCCACTTTAGGACAATGAGTCCTATTGGCAAATTGTTCGCTATATGTTGCCAGTCCAGGAAGTCACTTGAGAAATAAAATTCACTTAACTAAGAGGCATAGATGTGTAATTCATAAGAATGAAGAGTAGACAGTTTGAGTAGATAATGAAACTTACTTAATGCATTGTGCAAGGAGCAAAGAGGTGATTCAGCCTGTAGCCAGCAATTACAGTTCAGTTGGCATTGGTTATTGTACATACTGCATGTTTTACTTGAACCATACTATGCAGTAAAGCCTTGAAGCTATCTACACCAAAAAAGGAAAGATAGTGCACAGCCCATAAGATTTCTGTGGCACGCCCATCATGTTCAAGGTACACACAATATCCGAAGATAACCTTTATTTTGAACCATGGGTGGCCCTGAAAAGACCCTCCAACTCAACAAAAGACGATTTAAAAAAACACTGGGTAAGACAGAAAATAATTGACCAAACAGTGACTGCATCCTATCAGTTGCAGTGAGGCAGAAATTAGTGGCACAATCTCTCGTCTTCCTCTTAGAGCAAATAATGCATAGCCTAATAGTTGGGGACCACTTACAAAAAAAATTCAACTCCTCCCATATTTAGCTTAAAGTAATTCTAAAGGTTGAAATAAAAAAAAAAAAATAACAAGCATGTTATACTTACCTGCTCTGCACAATGGTTTAGCACAGAGCAGCCCCAATCCTCTTTTTTTTGGGTCCCCCCAATTGTAGTCCTGGCTCTCCCCACCCCCCAGCCGAGTGCACCAAAAGCAAGCCTGTGTGTGTGAATGGTCAGTGTCTGAATAGAATTATAATTATATAATCAGCTGATGCACTTTCAGTGTTCAAATGCGAAAAGCTGCAGGGCCTGCATCCCTTTAGAAGTATTTAACCCTCTAACGACAAACTAAAATTTCTATTGCAGAGGCTGCAAAAAATTGACTTGCATCTTAGTGGAGAAATTCATTGAGCTAATCACTCCAGCAGGAAATTACATTTCTGGGGGTGTTCTGTACGCCAACAATGAATTTTCCAGAAAATGACAGTAGCTGCAGTAGATTTTAATAACACTGAAGCAATAGTAAATCCTGTGGAAAGAAATAGCTTGCCCCCGCAGGCTAATGACATAATTGGCTAGTATGCACCTCATACTAGCACATTAGGACAGACCTACCTTTCAAATGGAGCCCTCCAGCCCTTTCATCTTCACCTGGTCTTCCTTCAGGTTCACAATCTCTAGCTGTTTAAATGGCCGGGCTGCAATGATGTCACTCCGATGTATGGGAGTCACGATCATGGCACAGTGCCCTCTACATTGACAGCACAACTAAATGCAAAACTACTGCTAATGCACTGTTGACATTCCCAGCTGCAGCTGCTGTGAATATCTTCTAAACAGCACAAGCTTAGAAGATATTCACAGTACCTACATGGCACCCTATATTTTTTTCTGCCAAAATGGAGTCGCCCTTTAATCACTTGCTCTCCAGTGTACATATATATATCCCTGGATATATCCTGGACAGAAAAGTGGTTATAGCAGGATCATGGAAGCAGAGGCAGCCATTATCTGTGTACCTTTTTTTTAAGTGCCGGCGATTGGCATGTAAAATGGTCACTTTTATAGCACTGTGGAGCCTCCACCATTCTCAGGCTTTTCCTGTTACCCCAGAGAAGGGGTGTCAAACTGGCGGGTGTCAAACTGGCCCTTCATCTGTTGGAAAACTACAACTCCCATCATGCCTCTACCTTTGACAATCATGCTTGTAACTGTCAATCTTGCAATGCCTCATGGGACTTGTAGTTTGGCAAGAGCTGGAGGGCCACCAGTTTAACACCTGTGCCCCAGGGAGCCTTAGGCCACTGTAAGTGGTTGGGTTGGCTGCCCACAGAAGAGATAGAGGGACACCCATCTCCTCTGTGATGAATGAAGGCAGAAGTGACAAGGATTTCCACACTAAGTTTCAGAGCTGTCTTTTCCTGGCTGTTACAGCCAAGAAAGTAGTTGATCAAACAGATATCTGTTTGATCAGCTGCTTTGAAGGGCAGAGGAGGAATCAGGGGTCTAATTGACCCCAAATGTCTACATAAAGAGTACTTATCACTGTCCAAACCTATCACAGGGGGTCTTGTTCACCCCTTATGATAACAACTAAGGTAAATGAAAAAAAATAGAGAGTGTAAAAAAAAAATTAAATCAAATAAAATTAAATTGAAAAATTTAAATTACCACTGTCCCCCTGTGCTCACACACAAATGCAATTCACACATATGTTTAGCATGAAAATGTAAACGGTGACTGCACCATACATGTGAGGTATCCCTGTGAATGTCAGAGTGACAGCAATAATTCTAGCACAATAGCTAAATGTTTAACTCTAAACAGACAACCTGCAAAGACTTTTAATTGATTTATGCGCCACTAGATTACTTTTGAAGTGTATCTTTGCTAAAGACTGATACATACTTATGAGAGGCACCTGCCTCAAGGGCATCAGGGCAGAGTAGCTGGACACAGTTTACACAGTAAGTATGGTCCTCCTGTTGTAATATTCAAAGCTTGGCTGTCAGTTTGACAAATGGGTCCCTCTGTGTATCTGAAACATCAATATCAGCTCCCATGTAAATGAAGCAAACATTAAAAATATTATTGTTATAGTGCATTTTGATTAAAAGTATTTGAAGGAAGCTTGTACAGTAAGTAGTGCTTGCAGACATTATTCATGAATTCATTATACCGATATTGTTACAATGTTTTTTCTTAGTGCCTTTGCTCAAATAGTTTGGTTTGTGTATAATGTCAATTCTAGGAAACCTGTTATTGTAAAATCCTTTTTTTCCAGACACTTTTTTTTTTTTGTTTGATTTTGTATTGCTTATATGGAAACTTTTTTGATTCATTGTGACACAATAAAAAATTCAACTCCAGGCACAAAAACTTCCAAGGGTTCATTCAGTTATACATACCGTTGCTTCAAATTCAACCATGCGGGCTTTCTTTTACACTAGACAAATCTGTTCTCTTATGCCAGGACTAGTACTCAGTACATTATGTAAGTATTCATGGTTTGTAGATTACGCTTTTAAGTAAATTGCTACAGCAATTAGCTACATGGTGCAGGAGTTTTTTTTGGGGGGGAGGGGGGTGCAGTCACAATGCAGCTTTAAGCTGCAGAGTTTTAATCAAGAAAATGCACCTTTGATACACAGTACACCTTGGAGTTTGATAAGCCAGGATCAATGAAAACAAAGCCCCAATGTTCCATGCAATATAACGAATAGCTATTTTAGTTTATGTGCACAAACCTTACATTACCAATAAATTCACATGGGTATTCATCAACTGTTCATCCAGATTCACCCTCTTCTGGACTATATTCATGCAGATTGAGATATGCTCATTAGACTTCATTGCAATAACTGTGAAGATAGGTGTGTAGCCCACAGAAATCAATTACAGATCAGTGCTCTAGGAATTAAAAAAGGCTTAGTTTTGATTGGTTGTAATTGGTTGCTGCATGACATTGCTGGATACATTGCATATGCATAAACCCTAGTAAGTTTAACTTTCATGTTATTTGTTTATTTATCTACTGTATTCACATTAAAGTGTATGTACAATCAAAATTTTTTTTAGTTAGGATAGAGTAGGAAAGGATTAGAATCCCTGACATGTTCTATTGCTGTCTATGTCCCTTTGAGGAGATAGCCTTCTCTGCTTGCCTTGGTGATCTCTGTCACCGACACAGAAAGTGATGGGAAATCCAAAATTTTAGAGTTGTCACCAGAACCTGAACAAGAGGTGTGGATAAATCTTTCAAAGGAGGCACATGTTCAGTTGACAGCTAAGAGGGGAATACCCCTTACTTTGTAGAGATTACCTTTCACTTACTGTTGCATCTATAATTGTTGCTCGCCTCCAGGACTTCTCCTGAGCCTCTCCCAACCTCTGGAATTCCCTACCCCAATCTGTCCAAATATCTCATACTCTGTCCACTTTTAGACAATTCCTGAAAACCCTTCTCTTCAGAGAGGCCTACCTTGCCCCCAACTAGCAACTGTACTCTACTTTTCTCCATCTGCTCATTCTGCACAGTTATTATCTTTTGTATTTCTTGACCCTCCTTTCTAGATTGTAAGCTCTAATGAACAGAGCCCCCTGATTCCTACTGTATTACATTATATTCTAATTGTACTTTCTGCCCTTATACTGTAAAGCACTATGTAAACTGTTGGCATTATATAAATCCTGTATAATATTATTATTATTATTATTATTATTAATAATAATAACAATGTCAGAGACAGGAAGCGAAGGTATATCTTTTCAGCAGGATACAAAGACAGGAAGTGAAGGTATATCTTTTCAGCAGGATACAAACAGCAAAAAAACTGGCTATGCATACACATCAAACATTTTGTTAAATTCCATTGTCGTTACCAGTTTCCAGATCACAAATGAACACTACTAGTGGTGACAGTAAGGCTCCATGCACACTGGGTTTAAAAAATAAGGGTCTGTTCCCTTGGCAAAAAAACCTTCTCTGATATAGAGCATTTTTGCACACAGTTTAGGCAAGTTTAGAAGAATTTAGCATTTTTTCTGCCAGACAGTTCCAATCAAAATTGCAGATCATAAGAAGAAGTTTTTTTTTCCTGCCTCTAAACGTTGAGCTTAAAATATGCCTCTAATCATCCTAAATGTGCACAGACATATAGGATAACAGTGAGCTGCTTCTACAGGAAAAACACAAAACTCCTGTAGAAGCAGCCATTTTTAAGCTAATGTGCATGGAGCCTTAAGATGAAGAAAAGCTAATAGCACAGATTGATAAAATAAAGGACATCAGAATGTCAAATTTTTACTTACTATTATGCTTAAAAAAGTGAGGTGGTGCAGACGGCAGTAATTCATAGTAAACAATTGCATTTTATGTATTATCAGTTTTTTTGGAAAGCTGCTGAAGATATGACTTTGACCAGACAAGATGTTGTTGGACACATGGCTGAGCCCTTCTTGTTTTACTAGGAAGAACAATACATTAGGAATAACACTACCATTATACAGGAATGGTTGGTGCGCCTACTGTATATCTATGTAAACTGAATGCTAATAAGTTTAGAGTTTTTGTTTCAAATAAAATAGCTGTGCATGTAGTTAGGACTGAATTATGTTATCTATCATTAAATATATTTTTAACTGCAAGCAGTGTAAGAACCTGAAAAAAATAGTTTCTGTGCAGCAGGGCTAAAGTGTGAGAGGAAGAAGCAGTACAAAGAGTCATTCAGTTTATGTGCTGATAAGCATCATGCCAATAAGTAGAGAAATCAGAGTGATAGAAAGTTGAGCTGCTTTTTCTATCAATGTCCAATCACAGGCTGGGGTGGGATAACCTGGATTGGGAGAAAGAGGGTTAAATGATGCTGGCCACCAGAGTGAAGGCATCCAAAGGAAGAAAAAAAAAATACTGCAGGGAAAATCTCTGGAATGAAAATGGACATTGCAGAAAACCTGTTTTGCTATTTTATCCTTTAATGGGCTGTTCATTTTTATCCTGTTAGATATTAGCTAGTTTGAAGAATGTAAGTTCTGACAGATCATTTTCTGTGCAATCAGTTTGTTGTTATGTAGTTAAGATCATCTGACACTGGCTAGTTTAATACATTTGTTCCATAACTGAGCAACGGATATGATCACAACTGGTAGCTATTACCATTCACCCATTTTTGCACATTTCAGGGTTTTTCACTTTGTATGAGGACCTCTTTACTATGCTCACATCAGTTCATACCTCAACATAAGCACACAGAGAATGTACAAACTCCATATATAGATTGTCCTTGATTGAAATTCTGGCCATCCAGCACAAGCTAATGCGATTTTTCATTTAGTATTAATTTAGTATTAATTCTCTATTTAATCATAAGGGCATGATTAGTGCATTACATTAGTTCAAGCAGTATTAAAGGATGTTTTTTCCCTAAAATAAAAAAAAAATTATACTTACCTGCTCTGTGCAGGGGTATTGCACAGAGAACATTCTTATCTCCTCTTCTGGGGTCCCCTGCCAGCGCACTCTGCTCCACCTCTTTTGTGTGTGTTACCTTAGCAAGCTGCTTGCAATGGTAGAACACGTGCAAGGGCACTCCTGAGCAGGGGCAGACTGACAACTCATGGGGCCCTCGGGCAATAGGGGATCATGGGACCCCTGTGTCCTTGCCCAAATTCAAAAAAGCCTATGAAAAAGGTACCAGGGGCATCTCATGGGGCCCCCTACTGACCCCGGGCCCTCGGCCAGTGCCCGAGTTTCCAAATGGTCAGTCCGCCCCTGCTCCTGAGCCAGGCTGTGTGCATTAATAGACATACACAGTGTGGCTTGGCCCCACTCCCTCTCTCTCCTCACTGGATTTGATTGACAGCAGCAGGCTCTGTGTTTTGTGAGAGTAGGGAGAGAGACCAGCGCTGCTGCAGACGGGCACAGTGCTGGATTGAAGGAGGGCTCAGGTATGTATTTAGGGAGGGGGAAGGAAAAGGTAGTTGAGGGTTTTATACCTTTATGGAGGTAATGCATTAAGGTAAAAAAAACCTTATGACTTTATTGCTTTTACACTAACATATTTCTAGATGTGTTACGTGGACAGTAGATACTCAAACAATATATAAGTGAACAGAATGTATGACCATCATTTTTTGCCTTTTTACAGTCATAGATCAAAATCTTCAGGGTGGCCTCCACCTACTGGGACCTGGAGTTTGCCACAGGGACCACCTTATGGATGGGAGATGGCGACAAACAGAGATGGAAGAGATTTCTTCATCAGGTAATAAGCATGACTATGAAGTATTTACAAAACCAGAACTTTAAACCCGCCTTAAAGTTCTAAAATTAAATTTTTATGTCTGGCTACCCCAATGGAAAGATAAAATTGAATGTAGAAATATGGTTGAGCTTACTGATAAAACAAATTAAATACATATTATTTGAGCACCCAATTGATCTAACACTAAAAATATAGAGGGAACATCACTAATATTTTGCACAGATGGACCTAGCTAAGGTCAATAAGATTTTAGTAGCTGAGAGAATCAGTTCCTTTTTCTGGTTGTAAATCTCCCCACTGATGTGGTGAGATATAGCACAGTAATAACAGAGTCAGCTCTAACATGTTTGCTTTGTTTGAAATGAGAAAATGTTGCAGCACAGTTTGCTCTCCTAGTCGGTTATATGCGGGTATAGGCAGGCCCAGACTAGGACAAAAAATAGGCCCAGGCATTTTAGACTGAGCAGCCCATAGCCCTGACTACAGTACACAGACCTCTCCTCTCTTCAAAACACACTGACTTCTGCTCATGTGACACAGCCCAAGTCATCATTCTGTACTAACGGGTAGAGAGGGGTCCCCCAGAGCATGATGTCTCCCCCACTTCTACATGTCTCTTGATTGTCCCATGTCTGCCTGCTCTTGTTCCTTAGGGATGGGGCACTGTGAGGTATTTCTGAGGCTTGGGAGGGGTGGGGGGGATTTCTGTAAGGTTATTTCAAAATGTATGGGCCGAGATGCTACCTAGCACTGGCTGTCACGTGACTGTGGCTTGGGATGTTCTGTTATTTGTTGCAGAAGATCAAAATAAACACAGGATGACATGGGGTCCTTGATAAAAATACAATGAGCACAGCTTACCTGTTGAATGGTTCATTTTCAATCCAGATATTGTTTGAAATCTGGTGATCCTGGAATGTACATGCTGGTGATGCTGGAACAGCTTTTGGCTGTGTCAATGAACTTGCTTTTGACTTCATTTTAAGAGCAATCACAATTCACTTGACAAGCAGCTGACATCTTTGTGGCCTGCATTTGACCTACTTTAAGCTGCTTTTGTAGTACAATAGTCTTCTATGAGAAGAGAAGCAGTTCAAAGAGTCCATGAACATGGACGTAAGTGCTAAAATTCCAATACTAAGAAATGATGCAGGAAGCAAAGGACTAGAATGTTACACAAACATACTTCAGGGAGTTGATTCCATCTGCCTTCCTAATGGTCCTTTATGAAACTGTGAGTTCTTATTCTGAATAACAGAATTACATAGATTAAGGTAGACTAAGTGGCTTTTCTGACTTTGGCAGTTGTGTTTACTGAACAGCATTATTAGCTCATTGAATGCTTTTGTTTGCTTCCTGGAATGTCTCTAAAGGTTTTGGATTTAGGCAATATCTTGCATTCAGATAGTTAGATAGAGAGTTGTATACAATCTTTATATGAAATGTGATGAAGAAAAACATGATGCGTGAAAAAGTATAGCGAGAGAAGTCCTATATATTGTTAAAAGCACAAAACGGATATTTTCTAAAATACAGAAAAGGTACACTTTAGTATATCTGAAATGAGTAAATCAAGCAAATGATCAAAGTCAACGTTAACAGATACAGACATTGGGCTTTGAATACAAACATAAATGCAAATCAAAGTAATAGAGATTAATTTAACCAGAGGAAAAACTGAAACTTCCCATGAAATGATGAATGATGACTCAAATATGGACAGTATTGGTAAAATTGCATACACCCTGGCAAGAGACCTGCATCTCCATATCAAGTGTACAGATGGCGCATTAGGAATCTTGAGCACCTTGCAGAATTGGATACACATTCTGACCTTTGGGACTGTTTATCAGCAAAATATATTCTGTTCAAGGAATACGATAGTATGGACATGAAACTGCCATTATCTTTTGAAAGAAAAGTAATAGCAGATGCAAACACCAATTATACAGCTATATTGGATATCGAAAAGGTTTTTATTTTTAATTAATGAAAATGTTTTTAAAACTTTATTTACTCAGCATTAGAATATATATTTTGAATCAATACCCATTATATTTGTTCTGATATTGGTTAAAGTGCTTAAAGTGCTTGTTTAGGTTTTTCTTTTTTATTTTGGAGGAGTTATTAATAACAATAACAAAGTTGTATGGTGTCCTTTGGAATGTGTAGTGTTATGTTCCATTAAAAGTCAATGTTCCTTTATGTAAGTAAAGAGGTTACAGAATCTCCTTGTTTTAGTTGGTAGGTGTGTGTACAATATTAGTTAGAGGTTAAACTTCCAATGGCAATATGGAAATGGACGCTTTAAAGACAGTTGAAAATGGATTTAAAAAATAATGTTTATAATATATTTCAAAAATAATCATTAGTTATTCTTTTTTCTAGTAATTTCCCCAATTTTTGGCTTGAGTACATGCTAGGCTCTTTCTGACATCAATAAAAATAAATGCATTATTTACACTCTTCAGCCTTTTTATTAGGTACACCTGTTCAATTTCTTGGTAACACAAATGATAATCAGCCAATCACATGGCAGCAACGCAATGCATTTAGGCACCTAGATGTGTGAAGATGACTTTCTGAAGTTCAAACCGAGCATCAGAACGGGAAAGAAAGGGGATTTAAGTTCTTTGAACGTGGCATGGTTGTTGGTGCCTGACAGGCTGGTCAGAGTATTCCAAAAAACTGCTGATCTACTAGGATTTTCAAGCACAGCCATCTCTAGGGTTTACAGAGAATGGTCCAAAAAGAGAAAATATCCAGTGAGTTGTGTGGGCAAAAATGCCTTGTTGATGTCAGAGGTCAGAGAATGGGCACACTGGTTCGAGATGATAGAAAACCAACAGTAACTCATGTCACTATGGACTAAAATCTCTGAGTAATGTTTCCAACACCTTGTTCAATCTATGCCATAAAGAATTAAGGCGGTTCTGAAGACAAAAGGGGGTCCAACCTGGTACTAGCAAGGTGTACCTAATAAAGTGGCCATTGAGTATATATGTGTCTAGATAATTTAAAAATCTTTATTAATAATTTCAGTTTATTCCCAACCAGGCTATCAATCACAGGCTAGGGAGAAAAAGCTTCCTAAATGGTACTCTAGCAAACATAAATTGTATTTTGATGTTTTGGACATAGAAAGGTGTGTTAGACCTTCTTTTGGGCTTTTAGAGTCATCTGTGTCCTCAGTGGGCATATTTTACTTTTCAGATATTTGGTGAAGGGAACTTTTTCAAACAGGCAGATGTGTTCTAGTGACAACTGTCAATGATAACACCTCACTTTGGAGAATTTCTTTACACTTCCTAACACGTATCAGGGCATTAGGTGAGGGAAAATCTCTCAATGGTGAATAAAAAAAATAAAAATCTGACAAGACTTCTTACCTTTCCTCATTCTATTCAAATGAACAAAACTGTTTTGTAGTGTATAAAACAATGATGAAGGTAGACTTTAACCCCCAAGCCAAAAATAGATAAAAAAGCACAACCTTTAGCTCGGCCAGGGTGCAAGATTCCCCCTTCCATTTTCCCTGACACATCACTGTATGAGGTATAATTCCTAGTATGCAGAATAATCTAAAAAGTGTACAAAAGAAAGATTTTTTGTAGATTTTAAAAAGATGCTCTAGTGAGAATTTTTTCCTCAGACAGAAAGTAAATGAAACAGCAACACAAACAGAATGATATATTTTTTTATTTAAGTTAGTAGGGAGAGTGCTAGAACCTCTATCATCTTTTTATTGTTGTTTGTTTCCCTGCTGCACATTTCTCCTCACTTCTGGGTCTGGTAAAAGGCTCTCCCCAAAGTTGTATTAGGCATATACATACAATTATATACAAACATACAGTACCCTCAGGTAGGAAGTTCTTTAAAAAGAGAGTTCTTACATCCCTGAAACTGTGGTTTTCCTCCTCTTCTCTCTTTTCATCAGGGTTGGCTCAGTTATCCTTTAAATTACACTATTATGGGCACTGTATTCATGTATGTATTTCTAAACATCAGATGCTATATGATTTAGGTGGTGCTTACTAGAGATGAGCGAATCGAACCAGGCGAACCGGAATTCGATACGAATTTCAGGAAAAATCCGGTTGAAACCGCTGTATGGAGTGAATGTCACAGAACTGTCAGAAATAGCCTATTTCTGACAGTTCTGGGACATTCATTTCACTCCATACAGCGGTTGAAACCGCTGTATGGAGTGAATGTCACAGAACTGTCAGAAATAGCCTATTTCTGACAGTTCTGTGACATTCACTCCATACAGCGGTTGAAACATTGTATCTATTTGTTTTCCATAAATGGATCCATTTATGGAAACAAATAGATACAATGTTTCAACCGCTGTATGGAGTGAATGTCCCAGAACTGTCAGAAATAGCCTATTTCTGACAGTTCTGTGACATTCACTCCATACAGCGGTTTGAAACCGCTGTATGGAGTGAATGTCCCAGAACTGTCAGAAATAGGCTATTTCTGACAGTTCTGGGACATTCACTCCATA